GTGTTTCTCGTGGGTTCTAGAACGATCGATAAGACTATCACGTCGCGACTTGTCTAGAAAAATCTATAGCCAGTGGTTGTCAACATTTTAAACATAACAAAATGTGACCTGATTTCAATGAAAATGATTAACTTATGTAAAAGTACATATGATGTTTTGTGAAAAATCTGTACGCGATGGAGAAAAATGGGTATCATTTTCGGATTCAGCGTACAGAAATTACTGTAGAACATGTAAAACCTTCAAGACAATATAACCATCGCAGGCCTGTGTTATCCAAGGAAATCTGATCTTTTATCCTAGTAACATGTAATTGGTAGGTTTAGCTCCAAACAGCAACCAAAAAAAGGCATACACTGTGAATAAAATATCTAAATATTTCGTGGAAAAAATAAAGTACGAGAAATTGCTATACAGTATTACAAAGCATTTATGATGCCACGACATCATGAAGTTTTTATACAAACTGAATATCAAAATAAAAACTGCAAAGCTACAAATGTATTTAATATTAAACACATAATATCGTTACTTTTCATAAAGTAAATTTTAATCTTATAGCAGCTTTTTACTCTCCGACGTGGCGAAGATACTAAACTGTCTGCTGCTTATTGTTCTGGGCCATTCCCATATGGTGTCACATACATTTTCTCGTGGAAAAGATCGCTGCACAGTATGACACACTATGTAACAACCAATAACGATACTTTCCTTTGACAGATCAGGTGATACCTTAAACATATATCCTCCCATACTTTACTGTGGGAATGACCATCAATGACGTGAGTAAGACATGCTGGACGAGATGGATAGCACTACTAAACCTTCCATACAATGCTATACTCTCTCGGGCTGGAACTGATTTACCGGTCAAACACTCGATTGAGCTACATCTCTCCAGTGAAGTGCTGTCCTTTGTCAGAGAACTTGTAGATTGATTGTGTTGAAAGAAAGAGTTTTAAATGTGTTCATTCTTCTTCATGTTTATATTCAGAATTCACGCGTGAAAGGAAAACTCAATTAATTACTTACCAAAAAATAATAAGTTTACTATTATTAGACGTGCGTGTAAAAAAAAAAAAGGAGTAGAATAAAAATTAGAGTATAATACACTATTCTAGGTTATGGAAAACAATTTTGAGTGAATTTTGAAAACAAATCACTTTATTGCCTACACATAAAACGGTCTAAGTTACTTTCCAAACTGAATTCTATTACAGTATGTTTTTATATCACACAATTATATGATTCAGATTTATCAGCAAGGAAATAAAAATAACTAGGCAAACTATTTTTTCCAAACTACCATAGATGGATAAAATTGATAAAAACCAACGAGAAATGAAAACGTTATAGTTACAAAAGTATTTAGTAAACGTGTGTGAAAGAGTTATAGTGCATATTTTAGAAAATCTTTGGATACAAATGTCATTTCTACACAAACACGCTGGAAACAATTACGGTGTATATTTAACAAAATGTGGATACAAATATATTTGTACAAGAAAAATAGAAACAATTAATGTGTATATTTTACAAATTCTCCTGGATACAAACGTTATTTACATAAAAACAAACGTGAAACAATTACAGTGTATATTTTGTGTTACAAAACAATTTAATTTTGTCTTTACAGGCTCCTGCGAAACAAGAAACAACCAATACAGGTGACGTGTGTATCATCTTTTTCGTAAACCATTTATATACAAATTAAAACACTTTTGTACTTACATATTGCAATATGAACAGTTAAGTACATAATGACAAATCCCTTGGGTTATGCGCACGGATCAGTGTCATTTTAACATACAAAACATGGCTATCCGCTATTAGCAAAGGTTATAGTCTGACACTACGTGTGGCGGCGACGCCATGGATATCACATAAAAAAAAACAAAAAAAAACGGAGTCCTGTGTGTAAAAGGAGCAATTTCTGACAGAAACATGCGAGACATTTTGTTAAGTACATAAGTAAGTAAGTGCACTCTCTCGTCTTTGGTTCTTCGACGTTTTTAACGAGACGTCGTTCAAGCTTCTAAAAATGCAAAAGCGACTGCAAGTCACCAATACGAACGATAAAAATATATTTCAGACTCAAGTCACTCAACTCAACAGTATAAGTTAAGCGGTTTCCATATGAAACTTTACCTAAATTTCATAAGCCTCAGAAAGCTGGGTGAACGTCCTCGTTTTTGTAATTATCAGTTTATATTCGAGAATAGATATCAGTTTTATTTGTTTTTATTTCAAGGTCTATCTACGATATCCGTCCCTAATTTTGAAGTGATAGACTAGAGCAGTGGTTCAAGAAAGTCCTCCAGGTAGTCAGCAGGTTAGTCCAAAACGCATGTAACTGATAAATGTTTTTGTTGTTGTTTTTGCGGTGGTAAGCGATAGGAGTGGTAGGTGGTGCGCGGGATCTTTTGCTCCGCCGAAATGGTCCACAGAGGAAAAAGTTTGAGAACCACACGACTAGAGGGAAGGCAACTAGGCAACACCACCCACCGCCAATACTTGAGCTACTATTAATCAATATCCCCACGACTGAAAGAGAATGAGCATGTTCGGTGACGGAATTCAATTTCGCGTCCCGCAGATTGTAAGTGCCCCAGCCACTAGGCAATCTTAGACCAAATAGATACCAGAACAAACCAAATTTTACGAATTCTGTTCGCCGAAAAATTTTTAAAACATCAAGCTCTCGATGTTTTAGAAACTTCAATCACCTAGCTTTGATGATTTGTCTACTAAAGTATTTTGTAGGCATGCCTAACAAAACAAAATATTACAGGTTATTATACTGTTATAGACAATCTAAACTGAAAATAACTTGCTCAATTTCTATAAAGATAAGATACAGAAAAAACTATACTGCCATTCAATATCTTATACATATCGCGAACCGTGGTGTCTGTCCGAGCGTTCGTCTGTCTCCCGTTTGAAAAGCTGCAAACATACGCAAAGCTCAACATTCACTTTTGAAATGAGCGGAGAACATACATGAATAATGTTGATGCTAAATTTTATTTTGCAAGCAGGATCTTCTATACTAAATTGTTAGGATTTAATCACCCTATCATTCATATTTCCAAATGTGACGTAACTTAAAGAATAAAAATGTAAATTTACCGTATATTATTGTTGAGCAGCTCTTGGCATGACTGAAATGCTCAACAATTACTTTTCGTGGTGGGCGGTATAAGCATCTCAAGAGCTTTGTCTCTGAGTGAAACCAAGAGTGCAGCACAATTAACCTTTTTAACGTCTGTGAAATAATTTCAACTGAAAGTTAACTTAAACATTTCCCGTCACTGGGGACGAGTACTTTTGCTTGTAAATTAAGTTGTTAGTTTGTTTTTGTAATTAAGCACAAAGCTACACAATAGGCTATCTGTGCTCTGCCCAACACGGTTATCGAAACCCGGATTCTAGCGTTGTAAGTCCGCAGACATATCGCTGTGCCACTGGGGGGCTGTAAATTAAGTAAATCCAAGTTGTCTTTAAAAAGGTTCCAAAGCTCAAGTGTGTTTGAAAAGCGGTCCATTTTTTCCCATGAGAACAAGTCTTTTTTTTTTCTTTTAGTAATCCACGTTGCTATCTTAATTCAAAATAGCCTAAATTATAATAGACACCCATCATTTAAAGATTACCTTTGGGTGCCAAAGTGTGAATTTCACCAATACATTATTAATTTTCATCCTTGATGTTTCAGGGTTATTTGCCTCTACACAAACACAATCCCAAGTTTTGAGCGTTAGAAACTTTACATATTACAATTTGTTTAGCTTTTAAGTGACTAAAATAAACTGTCTTTAGTATATTTCAGCTTTTTACTATATAATGCATACGTATAAAAACAACCATTAAACAATATTAATCAAAATGGGTGAACCCTTTTAAAAATATTTATGTCAATAACAATTGTTACAACAAAGTTTGTAATGAGTATTTTTGTCACTCCCACCTACTGCAACTAAATATTTTGCGTGCCCCCCCCCCCTTCCAGCTGCTACAACAAAGAAGTCAGAAACTACGAGCGCACGAAATATAAAATTTCTCGCGGAAATAGTTTGTTTTCGGATATTCGCGCAAAGCTATTCAAGGGCTATCTGCTTTAACCGTACCTAATTCTGAACTGATGGACTAGAGGAAGGCAGCTAGTCTTGTCAACAGTATCCACCGCCAGCTCTTGGACTACTCTTGTCTGACCGAATGATGGGATTTGACCGTCACACTTATAACAGTCCAAATGTGCGAAACGTGAAATTATTTTGAAGTGGTAAAGAAACATTGAACGCTAAGCAGTAGACGAAGCTCTGACTTCATCGTGAAAAAACAACAACACAGCATTCACGTTATAAGCGTTACATACACTGCTCACTTGAATATTTATTAGACCGTCTTCCAATGACAGTTTTTGAAATTAAAAAAAAAAATTCGTACTTACCTAAACACAAGATTATTTATGTATGAGTTTTACCAATCTCAAATTAATTACCAGTTTTTTCCATTGCACAAGGTTTGTTCTGGTGCAACGAAAAAATAAAAATGCAGGAAAAAATGGATTTCCACCATTCTATGTATTTATGAAGAAAAGTAGTATTTTATTTATGCTTTACTAATAGGTTCCTTAAATCCCATTTTTACCAAGATATTGATGTTAAATGTTTAGCCATGCTTATTAATGCATATCGTCGTTAGATATCCGATCAGAAAATAAAACATTCTAGATAATAACATTTCACAAGTTTAAGTTATGATACAATATAGTTACGAACATATTATATGGGAATTTATTATTTTATAATTACTACCAATTCTCATGGTCGTGATTATTCATAATAAACAAGAGCTCAATGATTCCTAGAACACAGACTATAATGTTCGTAGGGTTTTTGTTAACTATTATATATACATATAGAAGATGGCAATCATATCCTTATCATGAGGCTCTAGCAAAGGGTAAGATATATACGTGTTAACAATACTTACATTGTAATTTACTCATATAACTTTCTTTTCTCCCACAAACCAGTGTGCAAGTTTTTCAATGATATTAACCAAACTACTGTATCCCTACCTTCTTCTTCTTCTTCATCATCAACTTCTTGATTTGATTCCTCCGCCGTTCTTTCCGTGTTTTGAGTTTCTGACCCTTGAATAAACAAAATATTCAATTAAAAATGAAACTTTCATAATTTAATTGGAAGATTATTTAGAAAATATAATCAAAAATTATGAATATCTAGTCTAGTTACCAGATAACAAAGGATCTATTTTATTTCTTCACTGATTAACATTAAAAAATATTAGCTAATTATTAATATTATGTATGTTTTATACGATATATACGAAACAAAAGTACTCTCAGAATTATGAACAAGTAATTGTGGTTCTTATCTAAAAAACCGAGTTGAATGTCAATGTGAATAGTTAACGCATCAATTACACAGAAAGGTATTTTACATAACTGTCAAAACACTTTAAACAAATTCACACTTGCACATCATCGTACATCTTAAGGTAACATCATCTGTGATTAGGAACACAGTTTTATAACTTTATTTTCAAGACCTTTTATTTACTATCAAATAATCAGATAGTCTCTCAACTATGCAACAAGAAAGAGCTTTCCCTAGTTTGTCATAACAAACAATGTATGCTTATGCTATGATCCCCATGGAAGGATTCCACTTAAAAGATCCATTGCTTCATATAATTATATTACTTAGATTGTTTTACAGTTTAAAATATTACATAACTCCGATTATAATTAAGAACGTGTTCACGGTGCAGCACTGGAAGTTATCCATTCCTTTCGCGGTGCAAAAAACAAGAAACTTCGAGAGTTTTTTGGTTAATGGCTCATTCCAGTCGTAGAACAGCTTAAACACTTAATAATACACAATATATGGAAAGTTTCAAAATGTGATAAAAAAAAGGATAGTGATCTCTCGAGTAAACTATGGTTCCTGAAAACTAATTATGAACTTTGCTGGTGGGAATCTGTGTCGCATCAACGATGTGTTCGTTTGTTATATAGTAGTAAAGAACTACACTAATTACAGCGCTTATTTATGATGCTATCAATATTCTATGATACGAGTGCGCGTGTCTAAAGAACCATGGTCTAAGATTACTCATACCACAATACAATGTCTTAAAAATATTCCAAGCATTATACTAGAAACTGTATGAAAACGCTCACTCGTCAATGTCTGATTTGTATCGGGTTTTAGAGTCGTTTTTAAATCACCATACCTAAATTAATTAAAGTATGGGAATAATATTATGACATTTCGCCTAATTCCTTACTCGATATTACACGGCAGACCAACTGTTTAATAATTATATAAATATTTAAAAATTTCCTTTCTACCAAAGGTGGAAATGAAAAGAGAATTTGTGAAGTAGTGGCCTATTCTTGATTGGCCGTACCCTCTGCTGAAGACTGTAGTTTTTGCCTATTCAAGGCTCATTAGCAGAGCTTGGGTCAGAAAACTGCATTTCTTTGGTTTGCTGAAAGTTAAATATGTTCATCTATCAAATAAAGTTTCCTTACTTTCGATGACAAGAAAAAAAAAATATGAAGAAATTCAAACAAAATTAGATATTTTATATCTCGTGTATTTCTTAATGGACTGGCTTGAAATTTGGTATATGAAGTAAGGGTCCAGTAGAGCACATCCACTGCAGATATATGATAGTTGGGATTATCACAGCCCCGAGCTACAGAAAGTGGAAAATTGCTAAACTACCACACCTGTTAATAACACACAGTGTGTCCTGCGGGTAGTTTTAGCCGCATCACACAATATCGTATCTTGATCTGGGAGTTTTTTTACTTGTTTGTTTTCGTGAAATCCCACGAACTGGCAGGGTGGTTGTGACGGGAACCGATGATTGAGAGACACTGGACTACACGAAAGAACTTAGGTAAAACTAAAAATTGTTTTTGGGGGCATTTACGGAATCATGCCAACAATCTGTGAGAGTTCGTTATTTACTTTTTGGGGGACTTTCTCTGATCTATATATATATAAATCTTACTATACAATCTATTTCCGTATTTCCCTCAATTTAAGCATTATTAAACTACTGTACGACACGTTCACGTGGACTCAGTTTATTTTATGACCCCAAAATATCGGGAACGCTTTTTTTATGCTTGTAATAATCACTAATATGATTCATTAGTTTTGCCGGTAACTTGATGATACCGAGTAACACAATTATACTAGGGTTGAAGCCCTATAATCTCAGACCTAGGAACTATAATAATTCTAATCAGTGAACTCGTTGCCTACCATAATTATCTTGGACGAAGCAATACTATATCGAAGTTTTGAAACGTAATTATATAAATTGGTTCACTCTATCGTGGCATGTATAATGCACGCGCTAACGACAGCTGACGAGACTAAATCTTGCACGTGTTGCGATCACGAAGCGATATCATCACCCATGAAACATAACCTTAATAATACACAAACTGTCGAAGATTGTGGTAATATATTGGTAATGGGAAGTAAGACTGAGTTTTAGATTTTAAGAACATTATTGTAATTTTCATATAACAGTAATTTTTGGACACGTAATGATTGAGAGTAATTTTCCTACTTAACGCTGATATATGTGAAAGTAACAATGATGTAGATGATACAAGATAAACCTTTATGTTATACATTAGACATTCTACACCAAAGGCACAATTCTTGAAAATGATGAGTTCATTGACCTATCAAAAGTTAATAATGAACACAGATCTCAGCTATAAATAACGGTCTCAGTCCACAAAACATACATCAGCAGCGGATACCATCAAATAAACATTTCTAAAAATATGACTACTTCTATAAATATTCACCTATCAAGTTCCCGTAGGTACGTCATGTTTTACATCAATACGAAGGCAGAATTATAGATTTCCTCTACAGGCTGTGTTTTTACACCCTCAAAAATAAGTTTCAAGAGGACTAGACGTGTCCATCGAGACGCAACCTGTTAGTCGTTACGCTAGTTTCTATGAAAACAAATTAAAACATAAGGTCGCGCCAGAAGACAGATAGGTAATTACTTATTTAACACTACCTTTTACATTTTATGCTATGAAGAGTATAGCGCTTTTCTAAATAATTTATTTTGTGACAATTATATTGCAGTTAATGCTCAATATAACTGGAAACGATGTATTAACAGAATTTTTTTCATTTAATCAACATAAAAAATACTTCATTCTGATGAAAAATCATATATTTATAAGCAATACAGTTTTACTTTTGCCAATTTGTTTTAAAATATAGCAGAAAAAATTATAATGGTTTGTTTATTTGTAGTTAAGCACAAAGCTACACAAAGGGCTATCTGTGTTTCTGCCCACCACGGGTATCGAAACTCGGTTTCTAGCGTTGTAAGTCCGCAGACATACCGCTGTGCCACTGGAGGGCGAATTATAATGGAGCCTTATCTTGCGATCAGTCACTTATATAACATGTTTTACCAACTTAAAAAAAATGCTGCTTACAACCGGGTAAATATATAATAAAATAAGGAATGTTTACATGTTTTACTCTTACATGAAAATTCTGTTATCCCAATATCGATTAGGGTTAGTTCCACACACAGAATTAGATTTCATGTTAAAATATGCCCTTACAAATGCACGAGAATTCTCAACAAGCTAACTTTATTTACTTATTTTCATGTTATTTCCAATAAATACTGATTTTTGTCCAGATTCATTACACGCTGATAAATGAAATTTTCACGTAAAATACGAAAAGGGATACAAGTATTAGAAAAACAGAAAACTAATGATCAACACGAAAACAATCTATGGAATAAAGCAAATTACTTAAGTAATTAAGAATGTCACGTACAATTCCCAATTAAATTGGGTATTTTAGCACTACTGAAATTACGTAAATAAGTATTGAAACATTCCTGGGTAAGCAAATTATACTATAAAACTTCAAATAAAACAATTAACAAATGTAGAGTTTTGGGCCTTTTTTTCTAAGAATTACTATTGTCTGAAATTGCATTGTAACCGATAGCTTTTATTTGTTTGTTTGTTTGTTGGATTTTGCGCAAAACTACAAGAGTGTCACCCGTCCTTAATTTTGAAGCGATAGACTAGAAGGAAAGCAACTAGTCAGCACCAACCGCCAACTCTTCGACTGCTCTTTTCCGACAGAAAAGTGGGATTTGACCGTCGCTAACTTCTTTTTATGCACATTGATTAAAATAATGATTATTGGTTCAATAAAATATAAAACTTTATTAGTTACGTAAGCCGACTCGTTTCAAGAACACATTTACCATTATCAGAGCTGTGAGCATAGGGTTTACGTTGCCTATTTTTAGACTCCAGCCATTTCTTTGCCTGGAGAAGTTTGTAAAAGTAAATATAACTACATTTATATGTTATCAAAGTTTCCATAAGACAGATCGGCACGCTAACCAGTAGGCTGCGAGAGACTCCAATTGATTGCCTTTGAAAAGTAGTCCAATTAAGATAATCTTCCTTTTGGTTTATGGCGGCAAGTTGGCTGTGTCATCTAATTTAACGAGCTAGTTTTACGCCGCTTGCACTGAAGGTAACCTCCTTAGTAAGAAGAAAATTTATGTTGTTTCAACAAGAGTTCCACATAACACTTCTTTTCTGGACGTCATGTGAGCGAAATGATACTTTAGCATGGCTGATTTATATATTTGGTACCGCCAATGACGACGACTTTAGCCTTTTCTTTCATACGTGCATGACTTCCGACATGAAAAGTAGGCGACCAGAAAGCTGCTCATCGAAACACAAGTTTCCACGGCTGTACCAAGCCAGTGTCTGAAAAAATAATAATTAAGCATGACCAGTTTTATGAAGTGTTAGGACATGGCGTAAATGTTATGAAAATGCAGCGTTTTTGTTTTGTTGTTGCTGTTGTTTTTCCACAGAATATCTAAGTATATACTTTTGTCTGAAATACACAATATGTTGTTAGTTTAAGTTTGTTTTAAATTTCGCGCAAAGTTACACGAGGACTAACTGTACTAGCCGTCCCTAAATTAGCAGTGAGAGACTGGAGGGAAGGCAGCTAGTCATCACTACCCATCGCCAACTCTTGGGCTACTCTTTTACAACGAATATTGGAATTGACC